AAGAAACAGAAGATGCCATTGGATACTGCTTAACAGTAGAGCATAGACAGAAGATATTTAACCTACTCCAGGAAACATACTCCAGAAGGCCTGAACTTTTCTAGCACCTTAAAAAGATGTAGCAGACTTTTGTTATCTTACTTATCACTAATAAGCCGTCACAAATTTCCTGAGAAAAGTTTGTTTCTCTTCAAAGTAAAGTGGCAGCTGCCTGTCTTAATTTTAAATGGGGAGTTGGAGTAGTTTTAACCACTTCTCAATTTAAATTTAAGCCAGTGAGTATACCGAGGTGTGTCCAAATTTGGTATTGAAACAAAGCCTGTTGAGGTACCATTGAGAGTGAGAATGGTATAATTGTATTCCTTTTCAGCTGTTGCGATGCAAATTGCTTTAGGTAAAATCCATTCTACAAATGCCGTGGCAGCCATATGTGGGAGAAAGGTGGTTATTAAGTTACAATTTTGCACTTTTAAAAAGGGAAATCATATTTTGAAGGAAATATTTATGGGGTTCAAAACCCAATGAACACAGTTCTGATTTAAAGTTTGTATATGTGGTTGCAGAATTTTGTTGTCGTCTTTATTCTAACTTCTGCAAAACACACTTGCTATTTTGCTAACTATTGCTTGTTAGCTGTGCTGTATTTCTCTTTCAAAAATTCACTTTTGCATGTAATATCTAGTATTTATGTGGCTATTTCTGTATAACAACACCCTTTTATAGTGTTTTGAATTATTTTGATCTAGAACACTCAGGAGTGCTTGGGTGCACTGCTTGACACCCTTTGTTTTTTATTTATTTGACATAAAAGCACTCGTCTGGCACTGTTCAAAGATTTATCGGAGCTCCTTGTCCACTAGGCTGATGTTGATTTTGAAGTAGTAGAAGTCCTTGTTTCTCTTATCAGCAAGTTCAGTCTTTAATATACATTCTGTTATAGGTGACAGTGTGAGCTTAGACTAAAAGGGAACCGTAAGTGAGGCTTGAGTTTCACTTGACCCCTCTTATAGCCATTTCACCTTCAAAAGGCAAGTAAAGTTGGGAATTCTGAATTATGTTCTTGCTAGCTTGCTCTAGCATTTGTATGGAGAACTGGATTTTTATTTCTTGTGGAACTCTAAGGCTGTATACCAGTACATTTGTCGCCAGAAACAGTATTAACAATACACCATTTCTCAGCACTTTCACTTAACTGCTACCAAAATACTGTTGTATATTTGGTAGATGACAAGATCTTTCAAGTGGAAGAAAATGCAAGTAAAAGTGTATTTAACGTTTAAACAATTATTGGACAAAATAGGTAATTTGTAGGTATATTGAAGGGCTGGCAAAACTGAAACCAGTTCAGTGGCTATTACCAGATTCTAAGCAGGAAGAGGAATTAGTGTGAACTTAATTTCTACCAGTAATAAAACATTGTGATTGTTTGCGCAAGCTACTTGATTATGTTCTAGGGTGTATGTTTAGTTTATCGTGAGACTTGGAGAGAAACACTGAAGTACATTACACTTGCACTGTATTATTAATGCATTACTATAGCAGAGGAAGGCTGTTTGCAAATTGAGAGATTTTTGGGAGGGATTGGTATTCATTTCATCTGGTGGTTTTCATAAGGCCTTTATCATTTGCTCTCATCTTCTTATCCCAGGCTGTTATTGTTCATTCTGAATGTCTTTAAACACTTGATAAGTATTGGATACAAAATACGTGAGTTCATTACCTCATATGTATTCCAGAGCGAATGGAACTTTCCTTTTTAAATATGGTTCAATAACCGTAAGTTTCAGACCTAAAAGTAAGGTATATGTTCTTGATGTAAAATTGAAGGTTAACTTTTATTTTGGAATATGTCTGAACAGCTCCAATATTCCCAAATTGGAAGTCACGCAACATTTTTTTTTTCTTAATTCCTGTTGAGCTAGTAAAATTAGGTTCTGTTTACCTGCAAAATGATTTGTTTGAACTGGTTTATCCTGGTGAAATTCTAGTCGGACTCATGTGTTCATAGAGTTTGAATGGTGTGACTTTGGGGAGCTGAAAGGGATGCTCTCAGGTCATGTTTGATCCCATATTTAGATTTTGTAAGACTGCAAAACATAAGACAGAGTAAAAATAATTCTGCTAGAAACTGTTTTTTTGAAATCCTCTTTTCTTACAGCAGTTCAAACAGAACAGTGCAGCATTGAGAGAGCACGGGGGAAGAGGATGGTTTTGCAGTTAAAGCAGTGAGATCAGAGTTCTTTTCCCAACCATGAAGGTTTCTCTCTGCTTTTGTACAGATCCTTTGATTTCTTTCTCAGTTTACCTGCAACTGAAATACACAGTTAGGACAGCTCTCTTGGACCTATAAGGTACAACATAGAAAGGCAGAGAGTCTAGTACTAAGCTGGTTATAGCCATAGATGTCCAGAAGAGTAAACCTCCTTAAATTAATCAAAGTTTTCATTCTTCTTCTTTTCCATGCAACAGCTATTTAAAAATTGCTATAAAGGGTGTGGAAGACTGTTGTGTATGATTCAATGGAAGGAGCCCTTAAAAAGAACACCTGTTAATTTAAAACTTTAAATCAAAACTGTAATTATCAGATTTTATTTTTATATAATTTAAAAGAAAGAAGCCTTGACAACCTTCTACATTGGCTTTGTACAGATTATAATTCATTTGATTGTATCCAGTTGGGTTTTATATCTAAAGTTATATTTCTGTATATAATAAAACTATTCAGAACTAATCTGTAAATTGTAATAAAGACATTTGCAAGATAATGCTAATTTTTTTGTCTTGGAAGGATGATATGGCAGATGGGGGTAGAACTGCTTATGAGTCGTGATTAAACACTAGTAGTAACTCATGCTATTACTCATTTAGGTAGTAGTTGTAGTTATAAAAACCTGAGTAGGATCAGGACCTGCATGTGTATTAAGAAGGAATACAGCTATATTTTTCCTCTGTGCTGCTTTTTCCTCATAGCTCCAAGCAAAGCTACCTGAGCTGTGTCAATATTGTAATATATGGGAGGAGGAACAATGCGATGTAGAAGTGGCATTTAATAATACAGAAGCCCACTCCACTGAACTGGTAACCCTGCATGGTGTTCAAGGGTCCTGTGTTGCTGAATTTTATCAGCCAACATGCAAAATTCACTGTCCGCATTACTTGCTGCCAGATTTTTTTTTCTTTTTGCAGCAGCGATACTCGTTTTGACTGTCAAAGTTCTTCTTCTAGCTGAAAAGTGATGTAGCATGATTGTTTGTTTCCTTCCTTCATCAAGATGCATGTTAAATAGCTGTGTGGTAAACAGTTAGAAAACCTTATATTTTCCCAGGTATTTTAGGACCTCCTGGGGGAGAGGAACTCCTATACCTCTTTACTGCTATTTTCTTGCTTCCCCCCCCCCCCCCCCCCCCCC